CTGACTGAACATTCTTCGTGAGGAATGTTTTGAATCCTCATTTAGAAAGCGAATCCTCTCCGAGTTTCCCTCTCTTAACTAAATAACAAGATATATTACATCTGATATCAATAGTTATTAGAATTGTTTGTTCTCAGCATTAAGCTATTATACATGCATTTTTAAACGATTCATATTTTCTGCTCAAGGACACTTTCAGCATGGCTCATTCTTAGTCCTATGAGACCTGTGGCATTGTTGGCGATCCCAGCTACAATTTCCATCTGTAAGAAGCTGTAGCGGGCTCAGTCTTACAGACAGAGTGAAGATAATAGATATCATATGAAACTGGATGACCTAATGAATCCATTGGTGTCAACGACATCATGCTAGGTTGTTGGGAAGCAGGCTGAACGCTACTAAGTTAGGTTGAATTTTGGCAAAAGAAAACTGGCATTTTCAAAGGGGTCCCTTGACCTCTCACCTCAAGATATGAATGAAATGAAATGGGATCTCTAAGTACCCACGAGTCTCCCCTTTACAGACATGTCCACTTTATTTTAATCATATGCAGTTTGAGGCCAAAACCATGCCGTTTTTTGCATTGTGGAGATATTTCAGTCTGGACCGAAATAGTGACGCGACCTCCCATGCCATCCCTAGATCCACATACACTGCTAGCATGGTGAAAAACATCCTTGGACACTCAAAAGGACATCCATGTCTGCAGAAACCCCAATTCCAGAAGCAATAGTGATTTTTCTTGTATTATGTAGTAGCATATGTGTAATATTTAAAGATACAGTCTATCTATGATGCCATTTAGTATAAAGTAAACAATCAACAATTTAAAGCGAGGGTTGGTCATCTTCACAAACAAGAGTAAGCTAACAAGAGTAAGCTAGATTTATTATCCAACCAAAAGAAGGTTTGGTACTATCTTATTTGATTGCTGTCCATATGTAAAGAGAATTTCAACAAATATAACAAAAACCAACCCTAGCTTTAAAGAACAAAACAAATATATCTTCATATGTTTTTGATTAGGGATATCAGCATGGGACAACAATGATTAATATCCCAGGCCGCTAACAAGAACAAGCCAAGGTATTTTTATCTTCCATTATTCACTCCCTGCAGAGGCTTTGTGTTGCACCATTTAATGTATTTACTAGCAGCTGATAACCACCTACAGATAAATACCATGTGGTCTCATGATAGTTCTTGTCTGTACAGGTTAATGATGAAGGTCAAAACAATGGATTACTAGATACTAAGAGCCAGAAAGGGGGCACCAGTTGTGTCTTCCTGATTGGCCAAATGAATGCTGCCTTTGCGATGGGACTTGTTGGGCCTCTAAGCCATATTGGTCTTGAAAGATGGACTTTGAATGATGGGATACAACAAATGAGTCCCCAACACAAACTTCACTGTGAGATCCTGTCTTCATTGCACTACAAACTATGGATTCATATCATTCCGACGTATTCTTTTAAAATGGCACTAAGCATCAGGCAAACAAAAAAATATGTGATAAAAGTGGGTTCACTATTGCTTCATCTACATCACTGGTAAAAACTGTCATACTGTATTTCTTCAAGTGCTGCCTGGCCATGCCCCCCCCCCCCTCAGCTCCCCAGCAGTGGGTCAGCAGTAGCAACAGCCGACCCAAGGGCAAGCATCATTATAACATGTCTGTGGTAATTAGAAGGACCACTCGACCGTTGGTTAAACTGAAGTAATGTGCTTCATCTGCTTTAAAAGGAACTGCGATTGACATTGGCTTCCCTGAGCTCTTTTCAAAAACACCAGACTTGCCACGAAGGTGTAGCTGGCTACACATAATAATAGTGACTCTTCAGTGTCTCATTAGAAGCTATACGCACACTTTGGGATGCTTTAAGGAAAAGTCATACAAGTTTAGTCAGCAGCAACTTTAGTTACGACTATAGCTTTGAGGTAATGGCAAATCAACTGTTTCAGGTTTTCAATGATTAATAACATAAGTTCATGGGGAATATGGTACAAATGAGGCCATTTTGTCAAATTCAAGGGAAATATTGTGCTTTCACAGTGTGACAAGTGTGCGCTTATAACAACTCAGTCTATAGATAGACTGTGTTGCGGTGGGTTTTATTAGGATTTCATTACAATGTGAGTATGTTACAGAGGAAACCTTTGTGGGGCAGAGAGAAAGGCCTCTTTCATGAGACTTAATTGGGAAAGACCCAGTTAACTTCCCATACAAATTAATACAACCTGACCCTGTCTACATCCTGTGTCTGCCTGCAGCCAATCACATGACAACACAAATCAGAGTATATAAGCTACCCTAAATAACTTCAGTGTAGCAAACCATAAAAACCAAGCTGTAAACCGACTCTCTGACTCAAAAGAAGAGGAGGGTGTGAACAGGAAAAGTTGTTTAGAAAGTCCACCACAGCTCTGATGTAATTTAAGCTAAAGGGCAGAGTTTTGAAAGACTACCTCCTGGAAAAAAACAAGCTGTTGTGGAGTGTTTTTCTTACCAAGAAGGGCATGGAACAGCTGACTGCCCAAGATGGAAGAGACTTTGCCCACGCTGGTCTTCAGGGCCTGCTCCTCTGGACTGGTCAGGTTGGCCTGGTAGCATCTGAGCAGCCCCACTGCTCGCTCTGTGTCTGCCTCACAAGATAAATACATGACTCAGGACAACAGCAGCAAAGAACCTACACATGTTAGCATTCATTGTTGACAGGGTTAATGTTATTATCATGAAGTTGGGTTATAATTAGTATTTATTGTGTTGCTCTTGAAAGTCAGTTAATCCAAGGATAGAATATGAAAATGTGATCGGATATCTCCTCAAATCTGTTACGACTGCAACTTACAGATCATTTTTTTAATCGTTTGTTCGAAAAATTTGAATTGCAAGTTCTCAGAGGCCTTGGTGACTTCCTTTAATATATTGTTTTCTCCAACCAACAGTCCAAAACCTTAAACTATTCAGATTAATGACTATACAGCCGGAGCTGTGCTGAGTTTGTGCCTATGTTTCTGCCAATCAACCAATTCTCTAATTATCTAAATAATCAGCAAATGCAGAACTCGTAAAAATATAAAGGTGTCCCAAAGGATTAAATATCATTATACATGAAAACTTCAACTTCATTTCTGACTATCACAGACATAAGGTCATGTGCAAATATGATATTTTAAAAATAATAATCATGTATATTTGACTCATAGTCAAATGCAGCACTGGTGTTAGTTACATCCCCCTGTAGAGCACATTAAAGGTATTTTCTCTTGCAACACGACTGTACAGCTGGTTGTTGAACCTGGTGGGTGGTGAGGAAAACAGCACAGAGATGATGCACATCACGGAGTTAAATCTACAACTTCACCGCTCCCTACCTGATCCTGAACATTTAGATCGAGAAAAAAAACAAATCTCAACAGTAAGTTTCTGCCCGGAAGTTGCAAAATTCTCCAATTCCAGTATTTATATATGCAAAAACACGCATGTTTCAGAAGGGATTATAAACGGAGGTTAGTGAGCCAGTTAAAAAACTTCCACGTACTACTGTGCTGACGTGAACCTAAAATTAGCCACGTGAGGGATACGTTACGTTATGTTAACGGTACTTACCATATTTATGTACCATGGTATGGGCAACTCCAAAAAAAGTCATGTAAACAACGGTTTTGAGTGGGTTTTTTATGAAGAAAAATAATTATAGTAATAGTCCCTCCTTCTTCACAAACGAGAGAGAAGTTGAGTTTTAAATCCAGTCGGCAGACACTCTGTTAGTGTTGCTGCAGCGGTGGTCCACACCCACACAGGCTAAGAGGAGACAAGAGGAGACACTTTACTTCATGTCAACTCTCCAGAGGTTTTTTGGTGCAAACGGCCTGAGAGCGTGATGTGTTCCTCCTCCCCTCACACAACATGCCTCGCCTCCATTGGAAAACGTCCCTGTGGCTCTAAGCCCTCATTGAGACGCTGTTATATTCATATTAATACATTTAAACTGCCTGGATTTAGCTTGGATTATCTACAGCATGTGAAACAGTCATTTGTTAACAGTCTCTTAGCGAAACATCTTCTCCAGGGTTACATTTTTCACTGATCCGCCTCAAGTAGCCTTTTTTCCAAATGTTTGTGTTGTGTGCCATCTAGTGGTGCTGTTAAGATAGGGACTTGGGAATCACAGGTCCGAGGAGCGCTAGTTTACAGCATAATGAACCTCCGACCCAACTGTCCGCGGTCGAGATGCACCATGGGTAATGTAGGCGCCAGGCTTTGACGAGGAGGACAGACCTCTCCGATCATGTTGCATCGATTTTGATTGTTTTTTTGATAGTCTATTGTGAGTCATAATTTCGCTGCCCTGAGACTACAGAGAGTGTACACGTTGTAATATCTGTTGACATGTTTCAGATTATTGTTGTTCTTTATGTTTATATACCTTTGGATATATAGTTATATTGTACATAGTAGTTAAATGTTTATGTTTACCTCTGTTCTACTTTGTTGTCTTTAATGTCCTTGTTTTTATTTTTTTCTTGTTTATTCTATGTATGTACGTTGAGAGCAACGTGAAAACCGGAGTCAAATTCCTTGTATGCCTACGCATACATGGCCAATAAAGCTGATTCTGAATCAGATGGTGAAGTAAAGTGGATATTAATGCATTTTGTGGAGGGAACACAGATTCACTATTCACAATTTATCATCTCATCTCAGTGATGATATTCAGATACTTTACTTAAGTAAAGTACAAATGCAACAATGTAAAAGTACTCCATTACAAGTAAAAGTCCTGCTTTCAATGTGTACCCAAGTAAAACTAGTACCAGCAAAATGTTTAAAAGGAAATAGGCCTACACACATTATGCAGGTAAGATGGGCTTTCTGTCATGTATGTTTGCATTTCTAGTGCAAAGGCAGAGTGCAGGAAATGTGACCATTGTTTCACAAACAAAAGAAGCCAGAAAAGGAGGACAGAAATTCGTTTAAAAAATACTGAATCATTATATAAAGAAACACAAATATTTATGTAGTCAAGGATAAAATACACAGACACAGGACAGTGTAGAAAACAGTCAGTGCTTTTGACTCAGGTTACAGTATATACACATTGTTCCTGCAGTGATACGATCAGTAGCAACAGAAGAAAGATTAATACCCAGTTAACCAGCTAAACTTAAACAGAAACAAAAAAGTAAAACAGCCATCCAGTAGCATGGTGCCGATATTTGGTTAACATCTTATAACCGCTGAAAAAGCAACATTCTTATTTTCATGGCTTTGGAATACAGTGTGTGGTTATTTACATTAACTTGCTTTCTTCCTGGTTTAAGTCCAAACCATTCTGGCGGTGCAAACAAGGATCTATTAGTTTTGTGGCAGAAAAATGTCCTGCTGGAGTCGGGCAAACTACCCGGTGGATAAGAAGGGAGACAGTTCTTTCTCGTTCCAGGCTGCAGTTTCGTTTCTTTGCCTCTCGGTCCCTGTGTAGAGTCACAAAAAAGTTATAAAAACAGACAAATGAATACATTTGTAATCGTTATAGATGTGGTTATGGTTAATAAATCATTTTCTAATAATTTGTAGATCAGTTGTAAAAGAACAACTTTTGGGTAACCAGGTTGTAGAATATTTTTTTTGCTTTCTATTTGGGAATGATGACATTATAATATTCCTAATCTATTTAAATTATTCTCTTACTGTCTAAAAGCTATGTAAATAAAGATTTTAAAGTGTTCCTGTTTCACAAATGTTTGTAAACGATAATGTAAATGTTGACATGTTTTTCATAAATGGATCCAAATAAGTGTCCAAGTAAAAATGACGTTTTACAACCTGGCAATCCAACATGTGATATTGAAGGCCTAACTGATCAATAAAGCTTTAGTAAATAATGCATCAGTTAGTTGAGCCATAGTTACAGCTTATACACCTCTTCCTCATTATCTTGCATTATTACATTCTCTAAAATATTGTTAGTTTTTCAAATGAAAAATACAGACCCACATTTTTTTAAAATTAATTTTGCCATTGTAGTTACACTAACCCGTTATTAACTTCATGTCAAACCCAAAGGATGGATTGCTTTAATATCACCACTTTTAAAAAAATGTTATTAGCAACATGGAAAGATTAGTATCATAATTGTCATTATGTTAACTAGAGCTGAAACAGTTAGTCGGTTAATAGAGTAGTCCATCAACAGAAAATAATAATAATAATCATCAATTAATCACTTAAGTCATTTTTTTCAAGCAAAAAGGCAAACACTTTTCCGTGTTCCAGATTTGTTGATTTTCATTTCATTTTTATGACGGTGAAATGAAAATATTTTGGTTTTGGACAGCAAATTGAAGATGCTGCCTTGGGATATTGCAAATATTGATAAACACTTCATAGACTTAAGGATTAATTGATTAATTGTGAAAATAATCTGTCGATGGATCAATAGTGAAAGCAATCATTAGTTCCAACCCTAATGTTAACACATTGAAATCGTCCAGTACCTTTTCTCTTACAGAAACAGTGCGTTTTCCTGTCGGAAACAGTGAGGTGGATGATCAGTCAATTCACTTTCATCAACATGTTCATACAACAGACACAAACGTGTGCTCTGCTTACCACTCAAAGATGTAGAGTCCAGTCATTATCAGAATAGATGCAATGTCCACTGTAATCCATATTATTCGGTAAGTAAGAGGCGCCTGTAACACACAAACATGTGGTGTTTACTGCTGGCTACTGAAATAACCAGAAAGGGAAGTAAAGCACACGCTACCGTTCGTGCAGCTGTATGCGTTGCTCACCATGACCCCGTCGGGCCGCTCCATGTCTTTTAGCAGGTGGCAGGAGTTGGTGGTAACAGAACTGGCTCCGGCACACCACAGCAGAGAGAACAGCCAACGCTCGTTAACCACCCACATGTTCACCGTGACACTCTTATTAGGCCAATTGTTACTGTCAGATACAAACACAACGTCTGAAATGTAGACCTTTGTTGAGATTACAATGGTGAATGAAGACAGGAGTATATCTGAAGACAGAAATCTATGGAAAGCAGGACAGTAGATATGTGTGTATGCAGGTCTGTATCTGCATATGTAAATGTCTGTAAGTAGGTGCATGTATGCAAGTACATATATGTGCATGCAAATGTACATACTATGCTCCTATGGGTATTTTCTCTTTTCTTTTTTTCTTTTTTTTGCCGTAACGATTATCATGCTTTCCTTATTCGACTATTTTTGCATCGGTTTAAAAAAGATAATTAATAGAATAGAGTTTTTCTACTTGCATACATGGATGGACAGGGATGAGAAGATACATACACATATGCATACACCCACCCTGCCATCACAGGCATCATGATCCCTGACCAGACACACATTTATCCCACACAACATTTCATTATGACCAAATGCATGTGATCAAAAGGTGTAAGATTACATATGTTTATGTAAAAACAGTGCTAACCTGTGCTGCCCAGTGATTTGTCTTTTATGTAGTTCACTTTCTCAAAACATGCTGCTACACTGCATTTCATTTTTGTCATTCTTTAGTCATTTTTCATGGTTTGTTTGCTCATGCATGGAGCAGCACTCCTGGGTTGGAACCTTATTTCAATCTCACTCCCTGGAGGCCGATCCTGCACCTCTATAGTCAGCGCCAGCACTGTGTCTTAGCATGCCACACACACACATTTTTAATTAACACACTGCTGTGCATGCCCCCTGGCACTACCTATAGATATAACAGGTGTATTTAGTTTCATATTTATTACTTTACCTGATATTTTCTGTACTAAACGTGCTGTATTTCACATTCAGGTGGTTCCCCCCTTCTTTAAGCATAACACTTTCGTTGTCATAGACCTGGATGAAGTCTGGAGCAGTCTTATTTACATATTCCCTTTCTGCTGGAGGAAGCCAGAGGACCTGTAAAATAAAAAGAAACAACACCTTAACAAAATATGCCTTATCATGAGATATCTCAAATTTGATTAGAATGAAATAGAATCCGGCTTACCAGCTTTGGGTCAATGCCAGAATGCAAGATAGTTTTGACTGTGTCCACTGTGTCATTTTCCTGGTTGTTACTATACAGGTCAAAGATCACTGAGATGTTGTGCTGCTTGGCGAGGTTGAGGAGCTGAAGCAAGGAGGGAATGGTCTGATGTCTGGCTGTTTTCACCTCCTCTTTTGAGAGCTTGGACACTGAACGGAAAGGATCTGTCTAAAAAGCCAGACAACACTTCCTGTAACTGTGGCATGCTGCACGATATCACATAAATCTTTATGAGTGAGCGTGTGGACAAGTATGTGTCAAAGCCCAGCCCTCACCTTTAGGAACCATTCACCTGCATTCAGACTCTGTAATTCTTTCCAGGTCAGGTTGGCGCTGTGGCTGAAGTTTTCATTGGGAAACTTCTCTTTAACATTTGTCGTTCTCAGCAAGAACCCAGCGTTATTGTCATGCATTAAGAAGGGAACCCTGTCTTTACTGGGTTAGAAAAACAGGAAAAAAATGACATTTGTGAGGCAAAATCAATCCCATATTTAAAGGTGCATGAAGTAACATCTCTGTGGAGATTGAATTATAGAGAAGTAACTTCCCCTGTGAGGATGTTGACACTCAAAGTATTTGTTCCATGTCATGTACATTGACACGTGTCTGCAGAAATCACACCGTGTTCACTGACGGTCACGTACCTGAGCTGGACATCTGTCTCAAAGGCCGTCACGCCGCACGCGATGCTCCTGTTGAATGACATCATGGTGTTCTCCGGGGCCAGCTGAACACAGTGCGGACAGACGGGTGAGACAAACACACACACACACGACCCCACATACACCGTGTCATACTGAACTCATTGGTGACCCCAGAAGCACAGCAAACTAAGGAGGACAGAGCAGCACAGCATATGGGGCCCTCACATGAGTGTCTCTGTGTTTCTATGTTTTAGCTGGCTGCAAGACAAATTTCCCCTTGAGCACAATAAAGTATAAGTTGAAAAGCAAAGTTGAAAAGAATCACAACACAATGTGAGGTGGACCATGTGTACCTTGAGGGTGTTGTCAAGTAAAACAGGATGCTCACCATGGGTGCGCCGCGGTGACCAATGAGCTTTGGTTTTTCAGGCAATTCTTTCGCCTCTATCAGACAAGGAGACTGGATGCTCAGGGGACACAGGAAGATGGCTGCTGACAGCACTACAAATATACCTGCAATCAGGAACTTAGACCCTGGTGAGAACAAACGCCAAACGATAAGATAACTCTCTGTTCGCACTGCGGTGAGTCTGAACAGAGGGCCTGTGCAGAAGTTCCTTTATAAGTGCGAGTAAATAACCAGCATTGTTTGTACTGTGGTTGTATCATGAATGTATTTGTGTTCTTTTTCCCTTGCAGCTATTGACATATGAATAGTTCTGTACACTTAGTAAACAGCCATTTGTTAAAATACATATGTGATATCATGTTCAGCTGATTAAAGTGTGATTTTAAGCCAATGTGTGCTTTTTTCTGATGACGTACATTTTTTCTCAGCCATGTCGAAGCCCTGGAAGACAAACAAGCTCAGCAGGGTCAACGCTCCAACAGCACCGAACTGCAAGAAAGGAGCTGTGGCCTGCCAAGAGGGCGACACGCACATCAAATACACATCAGGTACACGGACAACTAAACAAAAAAACAAAACTGACATTTACTCTCTCAGCATCGCTCCCAAAAACATGTCAGCCCCTTGGCATGAGAGCCTCACTGTACCTGCAGTGAGAGAGGAACAGTCGGCCATTCTCGCTGCCACTTGAGGCAAAATCCTGTGACTCCGAAAGCGACGAATATCACGCCAAAAAATAAGAAGATCTGTGTAGAAAGAAAATACAAATATGACAACCTGTATAGATGATGCATATTTGGGGGGGGGGAGTTGGGTGGTTAAATGTTTACCTTGTGTAGCCAGTGTAAGTTGAGCGGCTCCCTTAAGGCCACTTGGACCAATGCAAAGAGCTGTAATGAACGGTATTAAATTATGAAATTGCAACGATGGCTTCCTACTATGTTTGAAGAATGATACTTCATTATCAACAAATTTATTTTTTCAGCTGCCATTATATCTGGTTATAAAGCACATAGTAAACAAAAAAATCTCATGTTTCTTATTTACCCAGACTTCTAAAAATCCATCCTCATGCCAGTAATTAACTAATATCCTGCAATCACTGCGTCCTTACCATAACATATTAACATCACAGTATCAACACTATATACTCACCAGCAGCAGAACACAGTAGCTGGTTAGCACTGCGGAAATAATGATCATCACCATGAACCAATTCACCCATCGTTTCAGTCGTGTGAAGCCCTCCCTGATAATAGAACAAAAGAGGGCAGCACAGGGTCAGCAGAATAAAGGTCACAAAAGGAAAAGGAGAAGAAAAGAAAGGTATCTGGGCTTTTGTGAGGGATCCAACAAGGCCTATTTGTCTGCATGTTTGTGATCACTCACCAGTTAACATCCTCTTGGTCATTAAACGTAACCATGCAGATGTACATCCAGCACAGGGAGAGCAGGGACACCAGAGTGACAACTGAGAACCAACAGCATGCATGCTAAAATGAAAAGGACTGGTGAAATAGTATTCATTTTATGATACTTAAAAGCGTTTGAGGGTTCAAATAATGCTCGAGATATTTTGTGTGCTGTGTGTGTGTCTGTGGATTCCAAAGGGAATTTGACCTGAGAAGACAATGGAACAATTCCAACATTTTTTGTTGGCTTTTTTAGCTGCACTGTGTTGTGAGAATGCACCACAAACAGCTCCTTTGCCATCAGCAACACACCTCTCCACCCTCTCATTTTTGTAAACGATTATAGGCCCCACCCACCCCCTTTATAATCCTGTTCCAGTTAAATCCAAAACAAGCCTGTTAGGGCCTGTGAGTTCACTTATTTTTCTTGGCAGACAATTTTCATCATCATCAATACTTAATTAATTTACTATGTTTTTCTTTTCTAAGAATATCTCATCAGCTTTCTCTAGACAAAGGTATCCAGTTTCATTTAAAATGCATTTAAAACCTGGGATTCGTTTAGAAAAACTGTTCATTGGCATTATTTTACAATTCTGAATTCAGTCCGGTGGAATGGTAATCCCTGATTACAGGGATTTGTAAAGGTTATGCTCAGTGGAAGTACAAGGAACCTGAAGACTGAAATAGATCTGAATTATTTCATAAACATCACACACCAACGTATAATATAGAGCTGTCTAATATAGAGGAAATTAGAACACCAAAGACGTATCTCCCTAATGGTCATATTTAGAATATATTTAGATTTGAAAACTTCAACACAAACACAAATGTCGCGGAAAATACTTACTTTTGTCTTAGGTATACTTGAGTGCTTCCAGTGGCAGCTGTATAAGCCCCTGCTGCAAACTCTGCAACAGCTATCGTCTTGACACATCACTTCTCCTCCTCAGTCACAGCGTAGGAAGTGCAGCTCCTGTTCAGTGCAACCTGGACACCTGATACAGCCTGAAGGACGGAGGGAGCCCTTTCTCTGGATGCCGAAGAGAGGCCCGACCTCGTTGATCCCGTTAAACCTGTGAAGTGTAGGAGGGGGAAAAAGACGACTGTGACAGAAAGCAAATGAGGGAGGGGGTATCAAGGCAATCCCTGCTCAGTAAGCCTCTCAATAGAGCCTGTGTGCAAAATGGGGTATCGCCACTGGCAGCACTTACAATGGCCAACACCATGGGGTATTGAGAGTATAGCGCACAGGCCGGCCTCAGAGTGACGTCACAGAATTGGAGCATTTGCAACACAAACACCCACAGTGGCAGGCACAGCCACGCACAGAGAGGGGGTGGAGGAAATAAACAGTCCATGAATAAAGAACAAACATTACTGACATGGTGAAGGATACTCTTTGGACGTAGATAGTGACTTCATAAATGTTTAGTTTAAAGTAGTTTAGATGAGAACCTCCATGTTGATATGTAGCCTGAGAATGGGGCAAAGCAAGATGCATGGAAAACATGTTTCGATCACCCCTTCCAGACATGGGACATGGAAATTAGCGCACATTATTTGTCAACACACCGAAGAGGCAGATTGAGCAATAACTGTTTCTATTGAAAAACACGTTTCATACGACCAACCGTTTGTTGTTTGACTAGATTTGACTTGAGGTTTTGCCAGCTACTGTCCCATTGATTGCTCAATTTTGTTCCCACAGTCAAAGCCTTCAAGGCAATAAGCAGCTCAAGCAGGTAAAGCTGAGATGAAACTTAAAAATCACATAACAGTCTTATGCTTTGTCTACTGTATAGAATAAAATCAACTTTTTTAACATTAAGTAATGCTTTTCTTAAAATAAATTAGGAGATTATCATCTAATGCGTGCATGTTTGCACAGGTCCACAGGTGTAAATGTCACTGATGTGAAACATAGGGCGCCTTGTTTCACAGCAATTATTCAAGGGAGTTTTACATCTCAGCAGAATGTTAAGTAATAACCGTAGTTTGTGACAGCCAGTGATCAGATAAATAATGAGAGGGAAATGGGAATGTCCCACTCACAACCAAAGAACAATTAAATACTTCTTCACAGTTGACTGCCTTACAACAGTTTCATTTTTTATGTCTTTGCAAAACACACGAGCTGGAAGAAATCACTGTTTATTTATTCAATCACACCTTAACTGTCACTTTCACTTACCAACATAACCACACCTAATGCATAAACACACTTACTACATGCTTCAAAGTTTAAGGATATAATTTAGTACAACGTATAACTACATCAAATGAAGGCACAGCGCGGGTACCTGCATTGTTCAGCAGATGAAACAATAACACAGAGACACACCTTGCCAATCCACTCTGCCACTTTTGTGTTATCACTTAACGCTGATTGGCAACTTTGACTGTAATTAGTGGGTGCGATAAAGACTGATGAGAGATTAAAGTGTCTGATCAAATATTCTTAGAATGATTGACGTTTATGCGAGGACAAACACATGGAGGAAACACCCATCACACCTCTCACTCTCCCTGATGCATACCGTCAACAAGGAAACATGCCGCTCTGCTGTGACTTTCGTTGTTACAGATACAGAAAGGGTTTTTCCTCCAACTTAAATTTTCAACTTCCGTCTTTGGTTTGCAATCCAGGAAAAAATTCACACACAACTGACTGAGTCAATTACAGTAGTTAAAAAATGTTTTTTTCTATCAATCAATCTATCTATTCCATCTATCTATCTATCTATCTGCAGTATCCAACAAAACGAACGAGACCATGAATCACACTGTGTTGTTAAATTCCTCTGTACTCACTCGGTAGGAAAACCACTCCGTTAGCCTCCACTCTACTTGTCTGGCATCCTTTCCACTTCAGTGTGAGTCCGTGAGCTGAATGTGAATGGTCCCACATGAATGGGTGAAGGGATGAAGGGGTGTAGCCCAAACAGAGAGGGAGGATACAAACAATTCAACTCAGGTAGTCTTTAGAGAGAAACTTGTAGTTTAAAGGAAAAAAAACTGAACGTGTACACTGACAGTTCCTCTGCAACAAGTAGTCAAGAGAAGTATCTCTCCAGACGTATAGTCTACATAAGATACTTCGGCTCCTCAGGGTCACTTTTAACAAATCCCATGTTCATGGCCAGATTGAGAAGACCTGGGTTGATTTACCAAGTTGATAACCACCAATGTAGGACTGCTTAATGTCATCACGGTCGTTAGGGTTTGTTAAGTCAGATAACTGAAAGATATCCTGGGTATGTTGAACTCTTTTCGTAGTACAGGCGTTGGATTACTCAAAATAATCCGCAGACCTTGTTGTGAGTAGTTTCGTGCAGGAACCATTTTCTTTCAACCAAAATTCCGACATGAAACTGCTCACAACAAGGTCTACGGATTATCTTGAGTAATCGGGTTATGATTTCTAGTAAGAGACATTGCTGTTTTTCAAAAAGTATTTTTTGACGCTTTGAGCAACACAACCAGAATGCCATAGTCTCATTATGTTGGCGAGAAGGCAGACGTCTCTACGACCGATATCTCCCTTACCAGGCAACTCACACCAAAAAGATCTAGATTAATAAATAACAATACAGCTAAGAGAAGAAATGTATATTTTTGATTTTGGGGTGAACTGCTCCTTTAAACCCCCTCACACACCTGCATTGTAGATGATAAGTAACTAAGTAGGCATTTACTGTACTTAAGTACACTTTTGAGGAATTCACAAGCCCAGCAGTAGCCTGTTGAAATTAGCCCCATTGCTTCAGTGCAACATCAAAGTGATGCATCGTATAATATATTCCATTCCACATAATGAGCACCTTTACTTTGGGTACTTAAAGTATATTTTGATGCTAATACTTTTGTACTTTTACTTACGTTAAATTGTTAATGCAGGCCCTAACTTGCATCATAATGTATTGCTACTTTTATTGAAGTAGAAGATCTGACTGCTTGTTCCAACACAACATTTAAGTCCTATATATAACATAGACATAATATATACATTGATTATAGTAGTAGTTAAACCAGAAACTTGTGGAGATATTAAACATGCTTGATAAAGCTTCAACACAGTGAACAGCATGTCTGATTTACTTTTGCATTGCGTGCAGCAGTGCAGACTTGTCACACCAATCGGTCGGCACTTAATAACCGCATGACATTATAACAACACTGTAACTGAAAGAATAATAACTGCAGGAATATGAGACTTTGAGATACTGTGTTACAAGTAAAAGTCATGCATTCAGAAGTATTAGCATAAAAAATACTTAAAGTACCAAAAGTAAAAGTACTTATTATGCAGAATATTCCATTTCAGCATAATGTAATAACGTATAATGTTTACATCAGTTAAATGTTGCAGCTGGTAAAGGTGGGGCTAATTTCAACTACTTACGCTGCAAGGTTGTGAATATTCCTCTTTTATCTATTCTTTTCTTTTCATAGTCTTTGAAAAGAAAAAGACATGACTGTGTTAAATTCCAGTGAATGCTGGACTGCGTGTGGGAGTGACTCCTCCGTGCCAGCAGGTGGCGGTAGTGCACTGGATAGCACAGTCATCGTTATAATACACTAATGGAAAAGTGCTTGCTGCTAGCCGTCAGACTGGCAGGTGAGATACTTTGTTGTTTCATGGCTGTCACTCTGCTTTCATTCCCCTCCAGAGGTTACGCGCTGTGTTCGTCTGTGTAGTCCAAATGATGGTAAACAGTGACTGTTGGTTAAATATGATTTGTGATGAAGAGAGCAGCAGCGTTTCGAAGTTAGCCAGTAAGCTAGCTTTAGCTTTAGCTAGCATCTCGTTTGCATATTGCAGTGTGAAATGATCCACTGTCGGCTAAAGCACGAAAAACCTCATTTTATCTCTATCGTCTGATACAAATGTGCATCTATACAACGTTTATTTCAGGATTTGTGTAATTATCAGCAGGGTTAGTCTTTGGAAACTGTGTTTTTTAGTAACTTTGTAAGTATTCGACAATATGTGATCTGAATGTAACTTATATTGTTGTGTTTGGTCTCTTTACTCGTTTTTATGCTGCAGTTTTATAAACATAAAGCACATGTACATATTGTATTATAACAAGTGGTACATTACGTTTTAAGGAAGAGCTTTTCATAACAATGTACATTTTTGTCTTTAGGTGTTTTTATAAACGATGGATCAGAAGATTCCTTATGATGACTACCAGCTCCCTGTGGTATTCCTGCCTTCATATGAGAACCCACCAGCGTGGATAGCCCCACAGGAGGTATGACACATATCAGTGTGTGGAACTGAGCATGTTCAGAGCAGGTTATTAGATTTCTCTTAATACATCAAGACATGTAAGAAGAATCGAGCTCACAGGGCCATCATGGATATCATGTTGTTGTTGTGCTTTGTCAGCTTTTCTGTTTCTTTGTAACATTGTAGCGGGTTCATCACCCGGACTACAACAATGAGCTCACCCAGTTCCTGCCTCGTACCGTCGTATTGAAGAAACCTCCAGGAGCACAGCTGGGCTTCAACATCCGGGGGGGCAAAGCGTCACAGTTGGGAATCTTTATATCCAAGGTGTGTGTGCGTGTGTGTGCGCGTGTGTGTGTGTGTAGCCCTGGCATTCATGCTTGTGGCGCTGCTGACTAATTGTTCCCACATTGTGATTTCTGATTTGTGTGTATTGTGCTGGCAGGTGGTCCCAGACTCGGATGCCCACAGAGCCGGTCTGCAAGAGGGAGACCAGGTTCTTTCTGTGAATGAGGTTGATTTCCAAGACATAGAGCACTCAAGAGTAAGAGCAGTGATATTGATCAACACATTATTATACAGTTTCTACTACATCTTCAGTGCAGTCGGAACAAGTTGTCTGTGTGAAATGGAACTTTATTTTAGAACGTGCCAGTTACATATTTCAATGTAAATATTTATAAAATGCCTCAATAAGTTCAGCCCAATGTTACACATTTTGCCCCAACTGTTTTTTATATAGGTAATAGCTTTTTTTATTATATTGCATTAAGTTCATTCCTTCTTCCTCTTCAGGCTGTAGAGATTCTGAAGACTGCGCGAGAGATACTGATGAAGGTTCGCTTCTTTCCTTACAGTAAGTCTTACTCTGCAAAATCATATCAAGTGAAAATGACGACAATCTCTCACTCACGTCAACAGATACTGTACTGCACTCTTACTTTGTCTTTTGATGGCCAAATCAGTATTTTGTGACCATAAATAACAGATGAATTCATGTACAGTTATTAATGTTTGACTTAAATTGTGTATTTCTTGACTGATCATTATTTAAAATACAGCCCTGCTTTGTTTACAATAAGTTATTGATACAAACAAACCTTTAAAAAGCATCAGAAAACAAAAGCAGTTAAGATTGACTCGTCTGTGGTTACTATTTCAGTTTCTCTAAATCACTTTCTCGAAGCATCCTCAACACATGCAAAAAAAAAAGAGGGAGATTAAACTAATTAAAAAAATGTATATTGTGATCTGAGAAATGTACTAAAGCGACTGAGAACACTGTGAGATGAGTTAAGATCAGTAGAACTTAACTCAGTTTGATAGCGTGATGGCAGATTCCAATCCAACTTTTAAATCTGTGACATGAATTGTGCCTTTTATCATCCTCCAGTATGCCCGTATTACAGTACATGCTTTATCAACAAGACTGTAAAAAGAGAGAAAAGCTTTAAGAACATTTCAGCTTCTGGGGGACCAAACCTCAAGGAAAATGAAGCTTGTCAGCACTTAGCTGCCATCATGCTACAGTACCTGCATACTGTGGCTGAGATAACCACCTGGCTGATCTCACTGCATGTCTTCAACAACAATAAAAGGCTTTTAGTCACTGAATTACATCGTACTGGTCGGATGACAGACAACATTATTGTGTGTTTTCTTCTATCAGACTACCAAAGGCAGAAGGAGAGGACTGTACATTAGGTGGCAGCAGAGAGAGAGAGAGAGAGAGGGTGTGTGTGTGCGCGGGCGGGCGGGCGGGGATCTACGTCACTGCTCGTCATCGCCCTCCTACAGACTCTGGCCTCCATTCTGTCTCCGCTTCAAGATGACTGACGTATGACTAACAGCTTCATTCAAAGTCCTCCACGTAGGGACAATATATACTCTGTCACCTGAGCGCTCCCTGATCTACTGTGATACGTGGTGATTTCTACTCTATCAGGATGTATTCACAGGAAGATACGGTACAAGCAGAAGCTTAATAGACATTTCACACTATAAATGATGGAACTGATACATATTTTTCTCGTCGAGCATAACATTCATAGACATTTGCTTTTCCTAAAGCCCTATAATTCTTGTTTCTACTGTAGTCTTAGACATGTATATTTAGATCGAGTACAGAGTAGCACTTGTGTGTACTGTACACATCTGCCTCTATGACAAAGATATGAAGTGGACACACATGCTCAGTTGCGTGTTTATTAGGTACACCTACCGAAAACTAATAGATCAGCCTGGCTATAAATCCTACAGTCATGAACTGTTTGATGGAATCGTTTAAACTCAACATCCACTTACTAGCTTTTCCTGGAGCTTTCCAAAACATGATTCCAATGTTTTATTTTTTTATGCGTCTTATATTGACAAACTGAGTGTGTGTGTACATGTAAATTAAATGTGCATATGACTTGGACTTCAGTACGCACTGACTCACATGACACAGCAGGGCCTTATGTATTTTAGGAGGAAACGATGGTGCAAGACTTCTGGTAAATATCACTGATCCTAATATCACTGTGAATATACTGTACATCCAGTTTTTAAATATTTAACAGTTTGTAATTGTTTGACTATTAAGTTGTGTAACTATTGTTCGGTGACTGCTATTGTTACTTAAATACTGTGGAATGTTTGCTCATGTTTCATCCGTGTTCATTTCACATAACCCGCTTCTGGGCTGAATAGTTTAAATCACTTTAATGTATGAACTTTATATTTGAGTTGCCAAACTGTTGACAACACAGTCTCATTCTTTACACTGCTACATTCAGAAGAGAAATTACTTTCGGTTTTCCATCTAATAACTTTTTTCAGCAGCACATTGACATGGTACAAAGAAATAAACGTCTTGAACCGTGGGAATCTTTTCTTTGTACTTAGAGCCTGAACCAGCTAAAAATGGACCGGTTTAAGTAGCCAAACTTGTTCCACGTTGTAGTTTGGTTTCTCCTGAGACTAGATTGTCATCTTAAGAGGAACGCAGACAATGACCGTAATTACGTTCACCTTGTCAGTTTTGTTTTTTTGAAGTTAAGACCGTGGAACATTCCACATCAAACATCTTAAGAAGAAAAAAAACCTAACCAGCTCAGCCTGCAAGGCTTCATTCCAGGGTCTTTCCTCCATCATCACGTCAGCAGACTACAGAAACTTCAAATAAATACATTAAATAAAATATATCCTTTATGGTCAACAGTCATATTCAACTAACAAAATTCTAACGAGCTATAATACATCGTAACCAGATTTTCATTCTTGGAGATCAACCGATCTGCTCTTGCCAATGCAAGTCTAGCGTCTGTATAACTTAGAATAAGAATGACATAAAAACCTTCGATTGCACAACATCTGAAATAAATACAATGAACCTTCAAACTGTCTCTGCATTAAACGACGAACAAAGAAACATAGTAACTCACTAATTATGACTAAAGACAATTAATGGTTACTAAAAACGAGCTCTTCCAAAAAAGAAAAAAAAAAGGATCATTAGCAAATGTGACAGTGAATTGTTTTTGTTTTGCATTTAGCTTAAAAACTTCCTTAAACATATTCAAGGCCGACGCCCAGAGTGGCTGCACAAACCCCGAACAGGTCAACATGTTAAGAATGTTTTAACTGCAAAACAGCCATTAAAATGTGATTTAACAGAATCAAAAATCACTCCGATGCAGAAAAATAACTAACTTCACTTCACTCTACTCTCACCACCGACAGTAACGAGTCAAATCTTCATTCACGGTCACTTGTAAAGGCAAAGTGGACGACCACGCTTCATTTAAAAATGCGTTCGCGTGTATTTCACATAGCTGTAACTCAAAAAGGCTCGAGATAGGACCCGTTGTAAATGTAGTTAACTACGACACACTCAAACCCTCACACCTACAAGTCCGTACAATTCTTTTTTTTTTCCTTTTTGTTTTTAAGCTCGTCGGCAAACACTGGAGAGATGTTTAGCTTACTTTAACATGGACTGAGGTCCACGGCAATTTGATCTGTGCTCGTTTCCGTCTGCTAAAGCGGCTGTAAACACTTCATGCTCATCCCAAAAGGCACACTGATGTGGATCAATATTCAAGAGCATTCGGGCAACATCACAGAGAGTCGGAGGTCTCAAGTCATATTAAATTTGTCCTCCGATGTCACCCTCTTCCAACTACCCCCCCCCCAGTCACGATTTAGCTGCCGTCCTCGCTGTCCTGAGTGGCCACCTTGGAACTCTCATCCACGTTTTCTAGCGAGTCGGCTCTCTGTATGGACAATTTGCTGGGGTCCATCATGGGCAGGGTGTTCTGCTCCGGGTACAGCCAGGGCTTCTGGTCGGGAGAGTTCTGCTGTTTCCACTCGGTGTAGTTCTGTCCCGCCTTGTGTACACACTTCAACACCTGGAGGGAGAGCGGAGACCACAATCACAGAGCTGCAGCGCGACAATGAGGGTCAATACCACACCTTCCTTCTCAGTCAACAGAGCGGAAGATAAGGCGGCTCACACAATACTGAGTTACAGATTATGTGGCAAGCAGATACACAAGTGGACCTATTTACAGCTCTGAAAAATTATTACCTTAATGGTGAAGTCGTATTTTGAACCATGGCTATCTTGCCTTTGCCATTACAGGGACATACGTTCTTGACTTCAACCGGATGTCAAACAGAACTGCACGTATGGTTTGCGTCACAAATCTGCAGCTAACGAAATTGCTGCTTTGATTGTGAATTAGGCAAAATTCTGCTTTTGTAGCATTGATATTAAGATATATATTCATTAGAGCCCTGAGAGGCCTCGCCCCAAGTTATCTTTCAGATCTCTTATAACTCCTGGAGGTCTCCTCCCGCACCCTGAGATCCTCGACTGTGTTGCTCCTTGTTGTGCAAATGTCCAGATTCATACACGAAGGTGACAGGGCTCCTACAATGCTGAAAGACCAGGACCGCAAACTCTGTCTCTTCTTCTTAAATCCTACTTCTTTTAGAATTGCCTTTCTGTGACTTTTTAGTTTGTTTATTCTTTGTGTTTCTATAGTATTATTATCATCATCGTTTTGTCTGCTGTGGAGACTGTAAGTTGATGCTCTTTACTGTTTAACTGTCTACAGTATGAGCTGCTCCGTCAGTTTGAATCTGTAGGTCACTTTCTATTCTTATGTCTGCCCTCAGTAGGTCTCTGATCTATAGCTGAAGCAATTTAATCAGCAACTATTCCGACAATATATTAATCATTTTAGGAGTTTTATAAGTAAAATGGACAGGTTTAGCCTTATATGGTTTAGTCTATAGAAATGACTTGCACAGAAAGTCGATGTTTATTTTTTAGTAAAAGTCTCTCAACGGCAGCTTTATACACTTTGGTCTAAATATGATCAATCTGCGGAGGATATGAAGCCTGGAGAACAAGTTCTGCACAGAGAGCGAGAGACCAACAGCTCCAGTCGAGATATTCTTTTGTCAGCAGCCTAACCAGGACAGGCCCTTAAATTGTGTTTCTATAGTTACCATTGTCCTTAAAAACACAATGAACCCTCACTCCTTTATGGACACACACACACACACACACCTATTAAATCACCTCATGGACACACGCCCGCACAGTGATATAGGTCATGTATTTCTAACATGACAGTGCTGCAGTGTTGACTGGATATTATCAAAACTTGTGTGTGTGTGTTGCGTGACTTACCTGCGGAGCGAAAACTTGAGAAGCTTGTTTTACCACCCACTTGGGAAGAGAACCTGGAAGAAAAAGAGACACAACTTTTTAAAACAAACTGCTCTAAAAATGTTTGGCAGGAGTTCTGAAGTTTAAAATAAGTACAGTAGGAGTGTCGGTTGTGGTCGTACCTTTGGGGTCGGCTTGTGAAAGGTATATGAAAGTGCAGCTGTTCGGTCCTGTGGGCTTGATCAAATATCCAGTGATGATGGAGATGGCCCTCACCAGATCACTGCGAGGAGGGTATTTCTGTAATGAATTTAATTATTTTTAATAAGAACCTATTTTAACTACAGACAACTCCGTAGAAAAAAACATCCAATGCACACAAAACATTAGGTCAATAGGTGTCAGAGAGTTGTAGAAATGGCACGTTTAAAGACAGTGGGAGAGTGTGGAGGAGGTGGCGTACCGGGTGTTTGACTGAGAAGTTAATGATGATGTACTCGTCCTCCATCACCTGCCACGAACGCAGAGATACCACATCTCTGTTCTTTATGGGTTTTGTACAAAGCCCTGCAGGAAGAAAAAAAAAAAAAGGGAAGAGAAAAATCTGGTTATATTGCGTTCCTTCATGTACTACTTCTCCGTACACAACCGTAGGCTCAACAAGTGCACCCTTGTTATGACAATAAATACACCTGTTGGACAAGAGGGCGCTTTGGTCTTTGTCCCCGAGGGCTTCAGCAGCTTACGAACGAGTCAACAGAAGAAACAGATTCAGATGAATTTGAAATAGAAGTTTAAGAAGGAGACGGCACTACGATGCACTGAAGGAAAAACAAATCTAGTCAGAGTATGCAAATATGGACAGAAGTGATTGCTGACAGGGAAGCAATGGTGGCATTGTTCATATTTCCCAGTAGCTCAGAATAAAGAACATGACTCTGACACCAAGATTCTGCCAGAGGAAATCAGATCGACCGAGTCAGTGATCGCCTTTAAGTCCCTTCTTAAAAACATGTGTGTGTGTGTGTGTGTATATATACTCCTGATTTTAGTTGTAAATGTCCTTTAAACTGAGTTTTAATTCCTTTCATGTTTTCTTTTCCTATTCTTCCTCTTTGTACACCATATTCTTCTTTATACATCAACATTTGCTTCATGTTTTCTTTTAAACTGATGATTTATGACTTGACTGTTTTATTCTGCTGCATTTGTAATGTAGACTTTGAAAAGTGCATTATAAATAAAATTTTAAAAAAAAAGATTATTATGAAATAAAAACATCCAGAACTTCGTCTTAAAACAAATAAATAGCAGCACAGATTTTAAACCATGAACTCTCTCGGAATAGCACTATTCTTCCATGTAAAAATATCAAACTCTAAACATGCACTTTCCCTTTTCAGCGTGTTTATGTCTTGCGCGCAGCAGGTTGAACCTGGTTAGTTTTGGGCCACTTACAGAGACACAAGCACGCAGAGGAGAGAGTGATCCGGTTGAACAGAGAGAGAGAGAGAGAGAGAGAGAGAGAGAGGAACTCACATGAGTAGTAGCCCACATCAGCATTAGCAGAGAGCCGGGCAATGTCGTAACTTTCCACCATGGCGGGGTCCCACGTCTTACGGTACGCGCCATCGTGGAGGACGTCGTACATGGAGGCAGCGGATACATCGTTGATTGTCATTTGACACTAAAAACACACATACATGCAAGTGTTAAAGAAGCAACAGGGCATTGCCAAGTTCGCGGTAGGAAACCCGGAGACAAGCATGACATCCTGATATTTCTAAATGTTGGTGTCAAAGTGGACTTACCTTGATCTTGTGGACTTTAGGGCCGTTGTTTCCTTTATTTGCAGGAGAGTTTTCGACCCACACCTGCATCCCATTCTTATTGTACTTGTTGGACCAATTGTCCGTTGATAAACACTGCTTCCTGAAGTCCGCAAAAGCCGTCTCATCGGGTAAAATAGACATATTTCAGCAAAAAAATAAAAATAAACTTTGCTTTTAAACAAATCTTTCCTCCAAAAAAGAAACCTGACACACAACAGTTCGGCGCGTTTGACCTCGTCGACTCTCGGAGAGTTTTCTGCGGCTCTGTGCCTCCTGCGAGCCGAATATATGCGAGCTGGTCACCACTCCAGTTCAGCAGGATTTTCTTCTGTGTCCTAAATTCCTGAGTCATACCTCTAGATATCCCTCTGACGTCACAGCCCCTTCCGGAATCCAGGTGTGCTACGCAGGTATCGTAAAGTAAAAAAGGCAAAGTCACTTTTTTGTTTTTTTACATTGTCATACCGCTACAGCAGGGCAGCGTTGCTATCAGAGTAAAATAAATAAAGCAGTTCATAAAAAAAAGAGCAGTGTTGTGTTTAGTTGATACACAAAAGGCCACGGACAGTAGGCTGAACACTGTGGGAGTGGGTGGGTGCGAATTGCTCAGTGTTGATGATTACAGAGAATCATCACGACTGTAAATGTTAAACAATAAAAATACACGAACAAAAAACAAACACATGGGTGAAATAATAAATCAAGCTTGAAGGTGTCATCATGACGGGGTCTACAATTAGTTTAATCATCTGTTTGGTTCAACTTTTACAAATACCTTCCTCAAACATAAATGGTATTTAGAGATACGTGGCTGTTTTTCTGAAATACTAATACTAGTGGTGGAATGTAACTATTTACATTTTAAGTTACTTTGTACTCCTACTTCACTACATTTCAGAGGCAAATTTTTAACATTATACCTTTATAAGTTTAGTTACTAGTTAGTTCACAGCTCCATATTTTTAATACAACATATAGAATATGATATATCATAGATTAAGTCACACAGCAGAATTTAAAGTAGTTAAAATGAGCTCCACCTTTACCAGCTTCAAAGTGATGTACACATTGAGGAATCAATAGTTACAATCCAGTCATTAAAAACTATTATTCTGAAATGAGCCATTCTGCATGATAAATACTCTTACTTTTGCCACTTTAGTCATATTTTGATGTTAATACAAAAGTAAAAAAAAGTACTGCATGACTTTTAAGAGATCTTCGTGTATGAATATTGGAAAGTAGATTAATGAAACCCCAGTTAAGACATTCGTTGTTTTTTTCCCACATGCTTTCAATGTCTTTTGGGCAAAGATGTCCATGAAGAAAGTAGCAGGTGTGTGTGTGTGTGCTGCAATCTCACGTTCCTACCTCGCCACACCTTCCTGTTGTTACACTGCATGCCTCTGATGTGTTACCCAATAGAGTAGTTTCAGTCTACTTTAGTGACCTGCGACACAACAGGTTTCTCACATTCAACTGACGTGCTGCATAGTTTCGCTTATGGACTGTATGTACAGAGCATGAATGTTTGTGGATCCACAGCATTGGAAATGAGAGAATCAGGAATGTGCTTCAGAAAAAAAAAGAAAAGAGGATCACAGATGTTACATTTCGGTGAAATATCTTTATTTTATTCCATGTGATAGGCCTACACTTGTTTCATTAACTCTCCTTTTTATACATCACATAGAAATAGAACATTATTCACACAAACGTTGCTAAACACGAGTAGACAGCATATTTCAAATGGACAGACACGATTCAGAATAGCACAAAGCTGAGTATTTAGTCAGTGACAAGTAGTAGAAGAGCTGCTCATGTTAAAATGGCCGTTTGATGTAATCGATTACATGTTTTTAATCCATTTTAAAACGCAGACATTTCAAAACAAGCTACAGCAAATGAACAGTGTCTTTTGTTGTGCCATGTGTTAGTTGGTTTGTGTTAAACTGTGTGTGTGTGTGTGTGTGTGTCTGGAGACAGTGCAGCCTTTACGTTTGACTGTAAACTAAGCTACTGTCTACACACACGCACACACACACACACA